AAAGACTAGAGGGAGGGCAGCTAGTCATCACCACCCACCGCCAACTCTTAGGCTACTCTTTTATCAACACGACCCTCAGACTGTGAGTCAATCGCCGTAACCAACTGGCCGTGCTGGGCGTGGATTAAAGAGAAAGAAGCTGGTCAAGAACACCCGTCGCCAACTTTTCGATTAAGTATACCAGACCAAACAATTGGATCTGACCATCATTGTTATAGTTCACTCAGGACTTCAAAGCGCAAAGTGCATTTATGCGACAACTGGACTCTAACCTAGAATTCACAATAAGCACAATAACAAATAGCCACGACTAGCTTCTTGAAAAACATATGCCTCGAATTTCTTAACTTACACTGAACATATCTAGTGGCACTTGCTAATCTGCTGCCATCTTTAGGTAAGTCCTGAAACTCCAGTCGAGTGGATATTGCACTGGACCTCCATCAAGAAGATCCAGGATAGAATCCCGGTCACAACAAACAAAGAAATAACCCTTATCGGGACTTTCTTGAAAACATCAGTAGGTTAGCAGCCGAAACAGGGGCTAAAAGAAACCTACTTATATATATATACAAATAAATATACAAAATACATATTTACTGATTAATATTTAGGTTTAGGTGATCGTGTAGGCTACTAACCACGACAACAAAAATTACACGTTTACAATTGCTAGATTATACTCCTGAAGAAGTATTTTGTTATCGCATTCTTACCCTCTGTAGTTACTTTTTACACCCTCTCTGTCTGAATTTTTGTGTCAGTATGTATCATATTTTTACGATATCTAATCTATACTTATTTTTCTAATTCTTCTAATAACTACAAAAAACAACAACTTTGAGTCATGCATTAAAGGACCGTCTTGCATATGTAGTAACCTCTAATCAAAAGAGTTGTTTCTATAGGCGCCTGAAACAGCTTTATAATAAGTTTGTTTGTTGTAAAGCGCAAGACTACATAATGAACTACTTGTGCTCTGCCCACTGCGAGTATCTAAACCCAATTTTTAGAGTTATACGTCCTCAGTCTTACCGCTAAGCCAAATAAGGGGGGGGGCTTGTAATAAATGAAACAAAACACGTTTGTAAATGTAGTAAAATCTCAAGACGAAACACCTTTTTTAAAGTCTTCACATAAAAGTGTAAATGTTCACTAAAACAAAGAAGCTACGTGGATTAAACCCCGAATTTGTGCATTATAAGCCCTCAAAATTATTGTTGAGTCAACTGATTTTAACAAGTGATCTATATCTATAACAACTGAAAAGTTGTGCAAACGTAATGTAATTCTTTAATAATTACAACTATCTCTTTAGAATATATCCTTTAAGAAACAATTAACATTCTTAGAAAATACATAATTTTCAAAAAGTTTTTATTTAATTGAGATCAGTTGCTTACAATAAATGTTTTCTTGTTAAATTTCGCGCAAAGCTATTTGCGTTTGCCATCCCTAATTTTGAAGTGATAAACAAGAGGAAAGACAGTTAGTGAACACCTACGGAAAACTTTTGGACCATCCTTATCAGTCTTAATAGTAGGATTTAACCATCAACGCTATAACATATTCACAGTCCCAAAAGATCTAAGCACGATTTTTTTAGGGTGGTGGGGCGGGCACGAAACCTCAGATCCACAGTCCGGCACGCTAATCACTCGACTGCTCTCGTTTTTATTTTGACCTGGTGGTTAGGGCGCTTGACTCGAAATCTGAGGGTCGCGGGGATGAATCCTCTTCCAACCAAACATGATCGCCCTTTCATCTGTGAGGGCGTTATAACGTGAGGGCCAATCCCACTATTCGTTGGTTAAAAGAGTAGCAAAAGAGTTGGCGGTGGGGATGATGACTAAATGCATTCCCTCTAGTCTTTCACTGTTAAATTAGGGACGGCTAACGCAGTTAGCTCTCGTGTGGCTTTGCGCGAAATTCAAAATAAATATGTATTGTTACTTCATAAACGTTTATTAAAATAAATAGTAACCAGCATAACCCATTGCGAACACGTTTTCCCACGAATATTACAATGATGGCAATCAGTAATAACAAGCCACACACAAAGCCTTACCTGTTTCACAAGTATCACCGGTCCAACCAGAGGTACAAAAACACTGATTAGGTTTCGTGCATGTTCCTCCATTTTTACATTCGGGTGAACATACTGCTACATAATCAAAAGATAATATATCTCATGAAGACAGAAATGTGACACAACAACAACAACATTGTAATTAGCAACTTAAAACAGGTTTGATAATTATTTTCATAACTTTGTACACGTTGCTATTGAAGTGTATTATTCTGTTGCAACAACGGGTGGTTTGTATTTACGCATCTTTGAAACAGTTTTTCGGTTTGTTAATGGTCTTAATTAGAAAATTATTTCATTTTACATGTAGTCTAGAGGAAAGATGCAACTCATTCTTGCTTAAGTTTGATGCTAATTTTTACATCCTGATCATTAGAGGACTCAAGTTTCGAGCAGTGCTACTCTCATGTGTTCAGATTCTGTGTCATGGTAATAGCCCAAAATATATATTGAACGTGGGTCGTGGAAGTTTGGTTGTTACTGTTACTTACTGATTGTTGTGAACAATTTCTTCTGGCTTATTTGAATTTTCATTAATAATACAATATGAGTTGAATGCGTGTCGTGAATTTTTGGTTGTTACTGTTAGTTACTGATTTCTGTAAAAAATTGCTACTGGCTTATTTTTAGTAACTAATAAAAAATAAAAATTCCACTGGCTTCTTGAATTTAGTTTTTTTCTCCAGAAAGTAAAAAAAAAAAGTTTTGTATATAGTGTCCTAGAAGTGTTATATAACCTAAAAACACGAGGTTGCAAAAAAATTATTTTGAATCTCGCTGATTTAGCTAAAGCATATTGCGAATTTCTCGTAGTTGAATTTGAATATTCCCTGTGTAGCAGCAATTTAGTGTTCTCTATTTTTGAAGTGTACAAAAATATTCATCGTGAAAAACGACTTATTCTTGACAAAGAAGGAAAATCGAAAAATTCACATTAGTATTCAAATCTCACACTTCAAACACACAAACAAGTTCATATATTTACTTATACCTCAAATACTGCAGTTTAAAGTATCAAATAGATATGTTTTTACCTTTCATACAATCGTACGAAGAAGAAGAACTACGAGTCCATCCTGGGCAACATTCAAATACAGTTTCGGTGTGAGGTACAGCCTTGTAGACAGAACGATATGCCGTTTCGTATAAAATTCTGAGGAAATTAATAACCAGTAAGAATTTAAAAATAAAAATATTTGAAACAGTAAATCTGAAAAATTGCCAATAACCTAAGAAGACAACCTAGTTACCTTCTGTAACTTCTATGCCAATTTATGTTCAAGCCTGACATTGTTGGGAAATTTCTAGATGTCACTTTTGTTCTTAATTATGACAGTTACACACACTTGAAAAAAAACAGCAAAAATCGCCTCCTTTTGCGAATATATTGAACTATCAGTTTCATTTTATCTTTACTTGTCATGTTTGTGAGCTGAGTGTTTGAATTATTAAGCTTTTTTCTAATTTGTCTGATCAATGCTTTAATCTGTTATTTCGTGTGTCCTCCCGTTGGCTTAGTGTTAAGCTTGATGGGTTATGAAGCCAAAATTCAGGGTTTGATCCATGTAATAGTCGAAGCATAGGTAACCCATTGTATAATTTTGAACTTAATCAACAAAGATTAGAAAGTTATTCTACGTATCTGAACATATTTAAAAACATATACAATAAGATCTGTACGACGATCGAGAGATGTTATGATCCTCAGTTTAAATATCATTACAAGTTTTAACAAAGATTAAATTAGGTTATTTCGCTCTGATTTATCTATTTAAAAACAATTTCTGCATTGTTGCCGAGGGTAAACACGACTATCGTCAAAGTACATCTTCTTAAGTTCAAATTTAAGTTTTCCACTATATTATGGAATCCCCGTCACATCAAACATGCTCGCCCGTTCAGCCCTGGGAGCGTTATAACGCGACGATTAATCCCACTATTCGTTGGTAAAAGAGTAGCCCAAGAGTTGGCTGTGGGTGGTGTTGACTAGATGTCTTTCCTCTAGTCTATCATTGTTAAATTATGGACGGCTAACGCAGATAGTCCTCGTGTAGCTTTGCGCTAAAATCAAAATAAACCTAAACCCACTATATTGTGTTTTTTACAAGTTTACTTTTTGAGTGTTATGACTGAGGTCTACCTGTATTATGTCTTAGCTTTGGCTATTATAATTTCCTTCTCGACATGTTAACAATATTTTATTAAAGTTATAAAACAAAAAATATAATTATTTATTATCGTCTTAAATTACTTCTACTGAATAGATACAAGTTACTAGTAGGATATCTTAAATGTACCTAATTTTATAAATTTAATTAATTATCTTATTTGTCAACAGATGGCAATAACATAATTCGGATTTTTTTATTTATTTCTCTTTAATATAATTCTCATATCTTATGTGCGACAATATTTTTTTTGTGTGTGTGTACTAGAAAGTTCATTGCTAAGCTTATGATTAATTGTTGAATGAGTTAACAAAACATAATAATATTTTTTAAAATGAGACTTTCAGAACGCGCAAATGTAAAATATCAAAGTATAACTACATAAAACATTTCGAAATAAAACGTTTGACACAAAAAAGAACATGCCTTAGTAAGCAGGTTATAAAGCAATATAACGAATAGTTTATTTGGGTCTCATTTACACTGACTGTGTACTTTTTCTACGCAGAATTAGATAATATTTACAAATACAGATTATATACCACCAGTTAGACCTAGTGTTTAAATGATAACAGGAAAATATAATATATATCTTCATGATGTACTTTTAGAAAATACCATTACTGTCAGCGCACATTACATTTAAAATTGTGTCCCAGCTGCTGACTTTAAATTTGAACCTGTAATACTTTGTATTCGTAAAATGCTCTTTGCTCCTAAAATTGTTTGTTCTGTCTACCACGGGTATCGAAACCAGGATTCTAGCGTTGTAAGTCCGCAGACATACCGCTGTGCCACTGGGGGGGGGGGGCTTTCCTAAAAATCCTATTTACTCACACAATTTCAAGGTAACTACTTTTTTACTAGTATACAATTGCGTGATAAATTATCATAAAGATCTTTTATTAGTTCAATCATTTCGAAACAACCCTACACGTGCTTTGCTAATTAAATTACATAAATATTAAACTTGAGAGGCCCGTTAATTATTTATTCATTTTTACAAGCCAAGTAAAAATTATTTTTTTATCTTTCCTGGTCATGTATTTTTTACTAAATTTTCAGATCTTAAACAGCTTTGCCATGACGGTTTGGATATGGTTTTTAAAACCATGTTTCTGTTGCCACTTACTGACCATGGTAGCTTTCAAATATTGAATTACCGAATCCTCAACCTTTGTTTATGAATGGGACCTTATGTCGTCCTCAAAAGTGACGAAAACAAAGGTGAAATTAATAAAGTATAGAACGCAAGGCAGGAGTAAGGATAAACAGTATCTAAGGGTATGTGATTTGTTAAATAAACTGAATTATCCTTCCACGTAATTGTAGTGCTGAAATAACAAATATGAAAACGTCAAACGTTAATGAGAATCGTGTTGACCGAAACGTTGATGCTCTTTATTTCCTGATATTCATCTCTTGACATTAGATTCACTGAAAATATTTAAATGGAAATATAATGTAAGTTGACTTGACGTTAGAGAACCTCTTATAAAAGTGCACTCTATCTTGTCAGTTCAATTAAACTAAAATGTAACAATTTCAAATAGCTTGTTATTTGAGCTACTCAAGGACTAGTTTTTTAGTGTTTGATCAGGGTTAAATCCCGTACGAAATAACTGTCAAAGGTAACTAGATGTTTAAGTTAAAACTATAATGAAATACATAGATAGCAAACATTTTTACAGAAGAAGCATTTAGCATTACTAGTGACAGCAACAGCACAATTGATGAAAATAAATCATGGTATATTCTGAGAAGATCAGAACATTTTGAACTCACCTATAAGATGTACATGTCTGAGTTGCGTCAGATTGACAGGCATGTCTGAAAGATCTGTAAACAGGTTTACGGTAAGATTCGAAACGTTTTACAGGTGTGTTGATCACGTGACTTCGGGCGCACACATGACGTCTGCAAAAGGTGAAATAAAGGTGAAATTTCCTCTAGATATCTATTATGATCATTTTCAAGATAGCGTGAATTGTTACAAATATATATTATTTAACTTTATAGTAAATAATGTAGGTAATTCTCCAATAAAATTCTGACCATATTATAAAAAAAATCTGTGACAATCCTGTCGCACATCAAGAGTAAGAATAAGATAGATAAAACGAAAAGTCAAATGAGCGAAAAAGCAGAAAGAAATATCGCATGAAAATGCTTGATGATCATAATGCCATTAGATTCGAAAAGTAAAATCCTGCACAAAAGTCAACCCAAAACATTACTAGTTCGAAACTACATTGACTAATGACATTACAACAATTATTTCAGTAACAAAAAGAAAGAAAGAATTAGAGATTCGACAAGATAAAAAAACAACTAAAAATTAAATGTTCCAAAATGTTTACAAGGCAGGAGAAATATTCTTTCCAAATTTGAAATCTATCACCTTCAGAGGAATTGGTTCTATAATCTCACACCTTCAGAGGAATTGGTTCTATAATCTCTCACCTTCAGAGGAATTGGTGCTATAATCTCTCACCTTCAGAGGAATTGGTTCTATAATCTCTCACCTTCAGAGGAATTGGTTCTATAATCTCACACCTTCAGAGGAATTGGTTCTATAATCTCTCACCTTCAGAGGAATTGGTTCTATAATCTCTCACCTTCATAGGAATTGGTTCTATAATCTCTCACCTTGAGAGAAATTGGTTCTATAATCTCTCACAATCGACTACCCATTTTCTATTAGGACAAACATGATTGAAATTTTGCACTTTTAGAACCATTCAAATAATACATTAAAAATTTCGAGTAAAGGTTGGATTTTATACCATCCAGTTGTAATTTGAAACCTTTATGAACATTTAATTTATTTCAAAAATAAAACAAAAGAGAGTACACAAACATTGCCCGTTGATAGGACTCTAAATACATTAGTAGAAAACACTACATTAATTTGAATATATAATATAGACTGACCATGTGATGTAGCTGGTGATTTCTCGAGCTCATATGATGAGAGTGTAGAGATGATTAGTTATATCACGATTAATTAGTTTGCGAAACAACGGGTAAGAGCAAGAACATCTCTGACTTTCAGAGGGTCATGATAAGGGTGTTCATCTAACAAAACCCTCATTATAAAAAGACTAACTGTTGAAAATCATCTGTTTTTACCAACAGAGACAATTGAAAGAAAGTAAAATTAGTGGCAGTCAGCTCCTTGTATGTATGTGAGGGAAATAATAATTGAATATTGTTGTAAGGTGCAACATAAATCAGAATGTGTTTAAGATGACGGTTTCCTTCAACAGTGGACAGTATTTAAGTTTACTATATTATATAAGTTGTCATATGTTAGTTTGTTACAACCAAAAGAACTGCTCATCTCAGATGAAAACAGCATGAGATGTCTTCAATATTAATTAGGTGCAAGGTGTTCACAATGAATCAATAAAAGTGTCTGATTTAGTATAAGTAATCACGTTTCATATTTTTCAGTATTGATGGTGGAAAAAATTTAGAGAAAACCATATTAAGCACTTGAATCTTATGATGTTTCGAAAATGCAACTTTCTGGAAGTGATTTTATGGTGCAATTAACATTTTCGTGACTGAAGCAGGATTATTTGATTCCTTTAGAGGGGCGTGTACTATGCAGTGTGTATCTGAAGGTGTATACTCTACAATGTTTAATTGAAGGTGTACACAATACAGTGTGTACCTGAAGACGTATACCATACAGTGTGCCCCTGAAGGAGTATACCAAACAGTGTGTATATCTGAAGGAGTATACCATACAATATATGTATCTGAAGGTATATACTATACAGTGTGTACCTGAAGGTGTATACCATACAATGTATGTGTCTGAAGGTATATACTATACAGTGTGTACCTGAAGGTGTATACCATACAGTGTGTCCCTGAAGGAGTATACCAATCAGTGTACCTGAAGGTGTATACCATACAGTGTGTGTATCTGAAGGTGTATACCATACAGTGTGTGTGTATCTGGACGCTATTGTTTATCATAGCGACCTCACAATTCTTTTTTTCCACCCTGGTGTGCGTGGACTTTTCCAAGATGATAATTAATGCTACAATCTATTAACATTGTTTCAAAAAACATACTTTAGTTATCTTCCTTTTCTAGTCTAATCATCGAATCTCTGGGTGTATTTAAACCTGACGTTTTTCACTATAAGCCTTTGTCGACACCTGTGAACCAACATTTGAGTCACATTCCTCGATGAATAGGCACACTGTAAGGGTCTGTACTAGGCCGAGTGTAGGGTAGTATTACGACAGAAATCGTGTCAATCGAATATTGTTTTGTTTGTTTTTAATTACGCACAAAGCTACACAAGAAATATCTGTGCTCTGCTCACCACGGGTATCGAAACCCGGTTTCTAGCGTTGTAAGTCCGCAGACATACCGCTGTGTCACTGGGGGGCTCGAATATTGGATGGTTATTGTAATAAAGGGGAGCAGTTTTCAAAATAGTGTAAGATAGAATTCATTTAGCGAGATTCATCGTACTGAAGCGTAAAAAAACAACAACAAAGAAACCTGTCAAATTCATGCAACATAACAAAATTAAATTTTAAAGTGGTTTAATGAATAAAGAAAAGCCTCCTGGGGGGCTCAGAGGTAAGCTCGAGCGCTTCTAACGCTAAAATTCAGAACTCGATCCCTGCATCGGTGATAAATGTACGACAATAATGAACTTCACCGAGTTTAAGCATATTTCATGAAATTAAGGCAGCGTAGTGCACCTTATATGTACACGTGTTTAGTGAAAAGAGAAACAGTTATAACTAATCTGTTTGTTTTTCTCGGCGTTTCGACTTTTCTTCATGAAACGACTCTGTTGAACACAGTAATTGTCTTCACATATTAAACACATTCTTCATGAATAAAAATAAGCTACAAAAATTCAGTGGAAGTTCTATAGTATATTTTTCTTGAAAAACACGCATTGCATCTAACTCAAAAACTGACCTAAAAAGCGTAATTTGTTTTTATAATCATTTATGTATCGGATCACAGCGTGGTCCTCTCACGTGAACTATGCTTAAGATTTAACCATATGGCTCTTCATACGTTCTAAAGCAGAAGCCATGACTTAGTTTGTCTCATAGTCTTATTATGTATTTTAAACTTAAGCCTACGTTTTTCTGTATTTTTTTTGTAAAACATGTCACTTGAAACTGAAACGTTTTAATAGAAGTGTTTTGAAATAAACTAGGAAAGTTACTGGATTCCAAACTAAACAAAATAAAGATTTCACTCAGAAAAAAAATATTTTGAAGGCTGTCAACTTGTCAACCCGTCGTATTATTGACACGACAGTTTTTTGTTTGTTGAATTTCGCGCAAAACTACTCGAGGGTTACGTGTGCTAATCGTTTTTAATTTTCAAGTGAGAGACTAGAAGAAAAGGCAGATAGTCAACATCACTCACCGCCAACTCTTAGGCTACTCTTTACTAACGAATAGTAAGATTGACCCTCACATTATAACGCTCCATGGCTGAAAGGGCGAGTATGGCCAATTCTTTTGTAAGCGGTTGTCAAGTAAAGAGGTACTTCAAATGGTGACTTTCCTTATCGCTGTTAAATATATTCAGTATGTGACATTGATTGAAATAAATTATACATTATTTATAGCACTTAAGATCAGTAAACATGTTTCTGTATACCCGAAATGAATTAGTAATTAATAGAAAAAATAACCGATTTTGGCGTTAAACAGCCATTTGGCTTTGAAAGTTTGACACACTAATATTGTAATATATGAAGGGCACCAAATAATAATTATTATTATTATTGTATTTCGGGTTATTATGAATTAAAATTGTAACATCACAATTTGTTGGTAATTCAGTAAAAATGAACAAATATAAGTATATATATTTGTCATAAATTAACAAATTTCAAAAAAGGTATCCAATTTTGGTCATTCTTCTAGCCTCCCCTCTTGTAGGACGACACTTTCTGTTTTGGATACTTTATAAAAATGTCATTTAATTGCGTTATTCGGTCCAAAGAGTCGGGCAGAGCTCTTGTAGCCGACTCGAGCTGCTCTCTAGCTGATCTTCCTCAGCGGCTTAAAATTACGGTAAATATACCTGAATTTTATGGTACATTGACATGGCTGTTACAAAGTGTTACTCAAGTTGAAAATTACAAATCCAGTTTCTTACATAGTTCTTCAAAGATATTGCACAACTGGAAAAGCTTTGAAAAGCAGCCATTAATAAATAAGTATATTTATCGATTGATCAGAATGTTTATTACTAGACTTTGGACCTAACCATATTTTCCACATCTGAGCCTCTATCTGTTAATTTGTCTTCAGAATTCAACTAATATTGCTTCGTAAACTTTTCTCGCAGCTGTCAAGATAATACAGGTTAATAAACTGGCTTTAGGCACAAGTTGATATCTTGACACCGTGTCAGTAGATAGGTTGCCAAAGTTATTATGCACAGCAAAGTATTATTATTTTTTACTTTATTCTTTGGGGAAAAAAATACAAAATACTGGAATTGTTAACTTTATTTTCGTAATAAACAACTCGTGAAATAACACAAGTCGAAATTAGTGTACTGAATATATATATATATATATTATTTTTTCGTAAATGTAACAGTATCTGCCTCATTATCATCATTGTAAATTCTGATGAATTTATATTACGTACATAGTTGAGAATATTATAATAAAACGATTTTGCCAAGTCACTTAACAACCACAGCCGAGTGGAAAAGAATGTATCAGAGCTACATTTTGACATTGTATGACATTTGTAGGTAGTGTGATGCCACCAAAAATCGCTTCTAGGAAGAGTGGGCAACAGCTCCTTCAGATGCAAAATATTCATAAACTCAGATCATAAAAATGTCTTTAGATCAGAGATTTAGAATTTCCAAGTTATGGATATTCCTGGGACGTAAA